CTGGGCACATTTAAGCCAAATCATGTGGAGAAAACAAAAAAATAAATAAATAAATAATAATTTCAAATGATAGGAAAGCGTCTAAAAAAAAAAAAGGATGAGACATTCAGTGAGCAGCGCTGTGCTTCATGTTTGCGGGTGAGTCGAGGCTGAGCCAGAACCGACGGAGCCGCAGTCCAGAGGAAAAAGACGAGGCCAAGACAAGTTCCTGTGTGGGTTCACATGAGCAGAGAGGGAGGCGGCATCATGGAAAGTTTGTGGTTTTTCTCTGACAAGTCTCTTCCTGGTAGCAGAGTGGGATGGGCAAACGAGTTTCACCGACTTGTTTTTGTGCAAGGTGATCGCTCTGCCTGAGCCACACCTTGGACCCTCAGGGTGACATCAGTTTGTTTAGCAGCTACACCCACTTTCAAAGAACTCCTCTTCTAGACAGGTGGCTGTTCTGCAGAAGCGATTATTTTTGTTGACTTTAATTGTGTGCATGAGCACAAAAAAACAAAACAAAAAAAAAAAGAAAAAAATAAATAAGATGCTCCAGTTAGATAGTTAATGTTCTGAACTGGGCGTATTCAAACACACAGCATGCCACAGGAAACAATATCAAGATGTTAAACATGTTTGGCTTACTTAAGGTAAACCCTTATTGTCATGTATCGTTTATTTGCATGTGCGCATAAAGGCGAAGAGAAAGCGAACGTTCAAAATACAAGAAACAGGATAAAACAAAAACCGTTGAACAAGTTTAGAAAATGGCAGAGTGCTGCGACAATTAAGAGCCCATCCTGTTTTGTTGACCCTGTTACATATTTAATGCCAGTTATATCATTTCGGCTCATTACGCAGCTGAAATGAGGTTAACCAAATAAGACGAGGTTCAATTCATAACGGTGAACTTCAAAGCCACCACTAGGAAATTTTAGGAAAAAAAGTCTAAAAAAGTTAGAGGATTATTTCTTAAGTGGGCTCCTTTTTGGCCAAATAGCCACAGTAACACAGGCATAGCTCTGTTGAGGGAAGATGGTGATGGCGTTCTTTATTCCATCAGAACTTATGTCCACGGCATTGTCTGAACATGGTGATCACACCGATTCATTCCACTTCTCACACTGACTTGCATTCTTTGGTGACACCATAATTCTACAGGAATGATAAGCTGGAACCTCCCCAAAGAGTCAAAATATCTCCTGTATTCAGGAAAAGTTCACATCACTGCTTGTACATTTAGGGGGCGAAGCTACAGACATTGTTTTGTCTTGCGTCTTGATGAATGAAGCCAATGTTGGTTTGACTTATTTTTGACCCGTGCGTGTTGTGTTTCCTGGTCTTTGTACCCGGGATTGGCGGACACGCAGTGTGTGTGTGTGTGTGTGTGTGTGTGTGTTCAGCCTTTCACCACAGTGGAACAGGAATGTTTTTTTGGGAAAATTCTGCCCACGCAAACCCAGCAGTCCAGATCTCTGTGTTCATTCCCAACCTGACATTCTTTCCTCCACTGGAGTTCACAAGTGGTTGCGAGATAAAAGCCTCCATTCATTATGCTAACTGCAAACCCGGCGTAATGACAGGATACCCCACCCCTGTCTGGCAGCAGCCGGGGCCATATTTCACCCAGCTCTGGAGGCCCACACATTAAAAGCAGCCTACGCTACGGCACGTTGTTTTCTTTTTCAGGTGCTCCGTGTCCACATCGCTTTCTGTCAATCAGAAATAGCAGGAAAACTCGGGGGTTTCCAAGTTTAATTATTTCTTACGATTATGGCCTTCACCTTCTTTCTCTTTCACTTTTATGGTGTTTGACTTTTATCTCGCTTGCCGAGCTGCCGGCGTTCAGCCCTGCACACCCACAATCCCTGTCGGTAATGAGGCAGCTGCCTGTTCACAGATGTCTGTGTGATACACATGTGGACCATTATGTTTCCTTGCAAAAACCCTCTTCCTTTTTTCCGCTCCTACTGCCGCGTAAAAAGCAAACCATCTTTCTACATTGGTCTTTTCATTTTTATAATGTGCCTGTTGCCACCGCACTGGTGTTTGGCTCGTCTCCTTAATGTGTTACAGTTGACTTTAAAACTGGTAAATGTACAGAGACACTTATTCTCCATTATCTTCAGTTCATGTTGGGTTGAAATGCGACCTAATTTTATGTTAGAAAACTCCAGGATATTTGTCGTGCACTTCTGGTGCAGAATTTTGCACCAAGCGTCAATCCGTTTTTGGTCAATTTTACAACTCGTACCGAATGGCTGGACGGAAATGCAACCATTTTTTTACATCTTCATCCAGACATGGAAAACACTAATCAATATCTGCCAGATTGCTTCTTAGAATTTAAACTACACATGGGTTTTAGAAAATGTCCGTAGTTTGGCTGGAACAAACGGTGAATGTGGCAGGAATGTGGGCGTAATCTGAAAACGATGAACTTCAGGTTCCATGTAAAAAGGGAAACAGATATGACTTGTGATGGATTTCCCTGCCATGTTGGCATGAGGTATCCAAAAAAAAGAGGGATCTGTGTGTTCGAATATGCGCCGCAGAAATTCGCAGAATATCCACGGCACGCTGAAAAGCCTCCATTGTTTCTTAAAAGAGCAAATGTGGCTGAAACTATTACGAAGCGTGTTTTTGTTGATGAGGCTGAAGGGGGGGGAGTTCCCACATGTATGAGGATTTCCCTGAGAGCCGTGGCCGTTAACTTGACCAAGAACAAGGGAAGTTGTGCAACAGTGGTTATCGAAAGGTCACTGCAGAGGAATGCTTTTTAATTTAAATGTCAATAAAGACAAATTAGTAGTTTAAAAACATAGTTGGATGTATAAAAACATGTACATTTAAGAGCACAAGAACCAAATAAACGAGTTAGGTAAAGTTTTGTCACAGTGACGTAAGAGAAAAACACTGTCCAGAAAACAACTACTTTAAGTTATTTTTGCCGAAGGCCGTTCTACAGCATGCTCAATCAAAGGGTGCACTTCGATTTTTTTTCACGACTGTTTTTGAAGTATTTGTGTGTTTTCTGTGCAAACCTACCCAAACACATTTGAGCATACCGTGCGTTCCTGCGTGCCCTCAGGTCACGTCAGTGTGCTATTCCTCTGTTCGGTTGCATCACGATTGAAGAGCTCAGCAGGTCATCATGACTGCATCGGCAACAAGCAACCAGCAGCAGTCTGTATTTTTCCACTGATTTTAATGAGCATGTGAAGATCGGGCCCCCCGAGAAGAAATTCAACCCAAAGTTACCTCCTTGCTGTTCAACAAGGTCACACAAGGTGTGTTTTTTCATCTGATGGAGACTCCTCCTGTTCAGTATTTGACCAGACATGCTTGACTGCTGGTGCTAACTGCTATATAATGAACTATGGTAAACAGCTGTGCTCTCCTTCCTGTCTTCATCTTTCTCGTACACAACCACCTGTTTTCCAGCTCAGCTTTCGTTGTCAAAAAAAAAAAGAACCGACTTCAAACACAGAGCGCTAGAAAACAACCACTAAGCCCAAGATACATTTTAGTAACTTTACATCGAATTGTAGTTTTAGCATTTTTGCTTTTCATTATTCTCAGGGGGAAAAAATTATCTCTATCCCCCTCTTTACGATAGTAACATTTCAAATGCTGAAATGTGCTTTTCTCTTTAGTTCTTCAAAAATGGACAACACTGCAATGCAGGTAGGATACTGACCGCTTTTATGCACTCTGTACAGATCCAGTTTGCCTCACACTTCAGCGTCCGTTTATACCAAACATCACTTTTCTTACCCCCACTCCAAATCCTCGTTCGTGGCATAAGACTAGTGATGCTGATGTCAGCACTGCCACCTCACTGTAACCAGTTCTTTGGTTCGGGTTTTGGCTGCGCCGGCACTTCTGCTTGAAGTTTGCATGACTTTTCCTTTCCATAACCCAAAGTGTGCAATTTAGGTTAATTGGGGATTCTAAAATGACTGCAGGAGCATCTGAATGCATTGTTTCTCTGTTCTGACCTCGTGACAGATTATAGCTGTGATCTGTTCAAACTCCACATCTGGAAACAGTGGGGAGGAGGACATGGAGGAAAAGCAGGTATACGGAATATCAATGAACCTCTGAGGACGGCGTGATTTGTCTTTTGTGTCTGTGCTAATATTATTGATTGTAAAACCCGGATTCTAACTGTATCTACTGATTCCCTCTCTGGTTTATCGCCTCGTTGTTGCTCATCAGTTGTATTTACAACTAAACTTACGGAACTAAAATATGTTTCTGACCATTTTTCTGTGTGTATTTCCTATTTAGTATCTGTTCCTGAACCAAGCTCCAAAAACTGAGTAAACTTTGGTGCAGCACATTATCTTTACAAGTCAACTCATATTAACTCGTATTATTAACTTCCATTTAGTTAGTAATCAGGATGCGCATGTGTTTCATGCAACACAAATCATCAGATTAGTAATAAATAGCTTATATTTGTCTCTTATCCTATGCTGTTTGTCTTTGCACTGAATATTGAACTTTTTCGTCAGATACTTAAACTATGCTCCGTTTCCCGACGGCCAATAGTATAAAATTCTAATAAAATTGGGCAAAATGTGGGACAAGTTAATTTTTTTCTGCAGCGTACTTAGCGTGTTATGTAGATATTTATTGTTTTAGTTAGGCTACATTTCAAATGAAGTTAAAAGTTTACAACAAAATAGCGAAATCGCATTGTTTTGGTGTTGCCGTAGAATCCATATTCTAAGAAATTCACCGTCCGGATTTGTTGTTCTACTCGACCAGTCGTCGCTTCCTCTTTTTTTCCTCTTCTGCTTGCCACCCGTATTTCCGACAGTACGGGAACGCAGCACCATTTTCACGCCAGGCGCCTCTGTTTATTTTCAGCTCGGTGACGTCAACGCTTCCCTCCTCCCTGAATGCGTTTCGTCAGTGCGTGGCCAGGCCTCTGATTGGTCGGCTTCGGTTGCCGTAGAGCTTAGTGACGGAGATGTGAGGAAGGAGGGGGCAGCCCGTTATAAAAGCCCTGCTCTCCTCTGCGAAACCCCCACTCTGGAGGAGAAAAGCAGGTAGAAAGGGTTGGTTCGGGTTTTCTCGAGGGACCTCCCCCAACCCCCCCTTTCTGTATTTACCAAGAAGAGGCGCTTCTATCCCCAACACGGAGCATCTGAGAAAACTTCATTTCACCTCGACTAATAAATGCCAAGAAAAGCACCAACGAATCAGGATCTCTACTCTGCAACGAGAGGAAAGACGAACTGTAGGAAAAACACTTAAAAAAAAAAAAAAAACCCCAAAAAAAACAGCAAGAAAAAAAAAATCGCACGGATCGTCGCCGTGGCCTTTCTCAATGCATCCCCTTTGTGCCCGTGGAACGATGAAGCCAGAAATAAACGCCGCCGTCGGGTTTCTGTCGAGATTTCTGAGAGTAAAAGGACACGTAAACGACCGACAGGTCCAAACGTTCAGCCAAAGCTTACAGGACATTCTGGCAGGTAAGAGAACCAGAAAATGATCCAGACGCGCACACAGCTCACCTCCGTACACACGCACATGTTGTTTTACACTCTCGATTCATTCAGAAGTGTAAAAAGTCGTCTTTTGACATTTGAGTTGAAGCCTTTCTTTGTTCTCCGAAGTCTCACTGTGAGCGCCGCGGCCGTTTGCGCACATCGGAGAGGAGCGAAAACAGGAAAACTATGAGCGCGATGGGTGATCGGTCGATGATTCTATTCGAGCGCCTTGGTTTGTTGTGTTGTATTTGATATAAAACACAGTAAACCAAAAGTGGAAAATCGCCTATTTGGTCGGTGTGGGGGTGGGGGTGATAAAGAGACGCTCAAACAAGGAAGTGCGCCTCGCTCGACAAAGCTCAGGGAGAACAGAGGGCTCTGAGCAAAACAAGCTTCATCGAGGCCGTTCAATTACGTAATGCATCAGAAAGAATGGGTTTATGTTTGGACATGTACAACCAGGCGTTTAGACTGATTAAATATTGTTATTCAGAAAATATCGAAGCTGTAACTGATAATAAAGCTGTTATTAATGCGTAATTTATGCGTTTTTAATACATTACACGGTTTTCTTTGGTATGTAAGTGATTTGACGGGAACGATTACACCGAATCCTTTCCTATCTATCTGAGTAGCCTTTTACGATTTGCTGCTTAGACTATTTATAGAATTTGATGGGACATCGTAGGTTTTTGAGTTGCGTTCATAGTGTGCGGAAATGTCCGCCTTTACCCTTTTACGCACAGCCTCTGTTTGGATGCGGTGTTTTTCCACCGAACAGAGCGCCGTGTGTCTTGATTTCCTGCCCTGAACATGTTCCGGGCTCGAAACTCTTAAGCTGCCATACATCTGCCTCATTCCAGTTAACGCGCAGCAGCGACTGACCTAAATTTTCTGAGTCCAAGAGCGCCTTAACAGGATATGCGTCGAGTTCGAGGACAAAAAAAAACAACAACAAAAAAACATGTAAACATATTGAACTGGAGCAAGTGTAGGGGGCGGGGGTGGGGGGGGGGGTAACAAAGTGAACAGTTTAGTTAAACTGTTTTATTATCTTATTTCTTCATTATTTTCTAATCATTTGATTCTGTATCAGGTTTGCCCAAGTTAAATGCAAATGCTTCTTTTTAGTTTCGCTTTTTATCTTCTTTTTTTTTTTCTTTTTAGATATTTTTGTGGGTCAAAATTTCCTTTTGATTCATCTTATTTACTGATACTTTGTCTTTAATCCACATTTAGCAAAAAAATCTGGAAACCCAAGAACCACGAGATAAAAACGAGCTACGTTCCGGGCCCTCAAACTAGGCCAGAAAATCTTTTGTGCTCAAAACCAACACAGTCGCGCGGTGTTGTGTCTGCATGCTCAAAAGCCGAGGGCCTTTTAAAGAGTCGGGGCAGCGAGTTTGAGACCTTGACGGTTGCATAACTGTTGGCTTTGTTTATAGACTCAATTCGATGCCCTTCTGCAGAGCCACATTAAATGGAAAATACCCAGTGACCTGCTAACTGGGGCCTTGACGTGCCCACATAATGCATCTTTGGCATTCGAGGTCAGCTACAAAAAAACGCATAAACAACCTGCTTTGGTTAAACTCTTAAGGTTAAGCGCACAGTCGACTGCTTACTCCCCCCTCCCAACCCCCCCATGTGCCCTGGTTTTTAAGAATAGGCCCCGCTGAGCTGATCATTTCCCAGCTGCTCTGGGGTTTGTCGGCAGCTGCCTTTGTCGCTCAAGCTGAGGCCACTCTTTCACGAGTGCCAGGGCCTCCATTAGCTTGGATGTACACAGCCGTCTGCGATAAGGCATGGGTGGGGGAGGGGCTAAGGAGGGTATTATCCTTTGGATGCATACAGGTGGCCTGCGGGGCCTCAGTCTGAATACAATTTTTATTTTTCTGGTTACATTAGTGTTCCCATCACTGGAAATTCAATCTAAACTGCAAAGCGATGGTTCATTAATATCCTGCGAGTATTACATGAAAAGATCAATGAAAAGAAGAAGTGGAGCCTCAAACTTGCCCCATTGTGTTGTTTCTAAACCACACTGCTAAAACACTATAAGCACAATTTCCTACTGCCCATCGTTCATCACGTTAAAATGAATCAGAGGCAGAAAATTATGCGTCACTAGTTTCACTGGGCATCCGAAACTTCCACAAGGAAAAAGAGATGGAGGGGGAAGAGGGAAGAGGGGGCACAGCCTCTCCCCTTTTAGAGGTGGAGCTTTGTACCCCAGATGGCTGTCTGGGGCACTTTTGGTGTTTTTGTTCAGCCATTCACAGGAGGCTGTTTTCTTTTTTTTTTTTTGCTGAACGGCAGAGGAGGAATTGTGCAATTCAGTGGCAGTCCCTTTGTCACGTAGGCTGAGCCTGCCCCTGGCTGGTTGTTTATGGTAGCTTATCATGCCTGCAGCAGGTGGTGGTGTTTTTCTTCCTTTTTTTTTTATTTTTAGCTTTGTTTTGCAGTTCATAACAACTTTGTCGATATGTGCAACGTGTTTGCTCTGTTAGGTTTGGAGTCTAATTTGTTTGTTCACATTACTGAATTAGTAAAACAGATCAAATGGTTCCAGGCATTTCCCAATTTTAGATTCTCACTGGAGTGGAACATAATTTTAGAAAAACAAAAATATTTGCTTGCTATTAAATAATCTTATATAAGTGGTTATTACTCAGAAGTGCCAAAAAAAAGAACAGAGTAGTACATTTAATTTTGCTATGAGTTTGTTTTTGTGTGCTTTCAACGCTCATAATCAGACCCCCTGTAGCTTAACTCTTTCCATCTTCTCTCCCTTTGTTTCCCCTGCAGAGCAATATAAGCACCACTGGTTCCCAGACAAGCCCTGCAAGGGCTCGGGTTACCGCTGCATCCGCATCAATCACAAGATGGATCCACTGGTCGGGCAGGCTGGCCAGCGCATTGGCCTTACCATCCAGCAACTCTACCTGCTGCTGCCCAGCGAGCTCACGCTTTGGGTGGACCCCTTCGAGGTGTCCTACCGCATCGGCGAGGACGGCTCCATCTGCGTCCTGTACGAGTCACAGCCTGGGCCCGTTGGCATGCCCCTGTCCGCCAGCTCTGCCTTAGGACACGGGTCTGTTGGCTCCATGGTGGACAGTCACCTCAGCTGTAAGGAGGAAATGAGGGTGCTGGGCAGGACCAGTCCCTCCAAAGCCTACAACAACATGATGACTGTGTCCAATTAAAGTGGTGCGCGGTCAGTCCCAGCCTACTATTGTTCAGGGTTACACAGTGGCTGGTCAGATCATGGTGAGCCTTTTTAAAGCTAAAAATATGAAATGAAATAATGAAAGAAGAAAAAAAAAAAACAGGATGTGGCCTATCATCCAGGTGATGGAAACCTTGTAGGTTCAATATTTTTACCTTCTCTCCCGGTTATCTGTTGTGTTGTCATTGGATCAGCTGGGCACTCCATTTTCTTTAAGGAGAGGCTTTGTGAAAATGGAACTGTTGGGGCAGCTAAACCATCCAACCAACCAGGAAATACCCACCCCAAACCCCTCCATGGAGACTGGCTCCGAAACACCCAACATCCCTCACTTAACTTTCCACATTTTAAAGTGCTCCACCTCTGAAGGGGCTATCAGCATTGACTTTGCACTTTTTCTTACTTACTTGTGGGTACTATGGGTACATGTTCAACACATTACAGCAAAAACAGTCTAAATTGTAAGGATTTGTTTTCCAGGGATTTTAAACTTTCATCGATCATCGGTTCTTTAGCATAGGCAGGGAGGAAGTTGAGGTTTGGGCCGTGCCATAGCAAATCCAAGCTTAAGGTAAAGAATCAACATATAAGAGCACTTCTATTTTCTAAGAAAACTGTTTTTGGACCACAAAAGTACATTCTTTACCTTGTAGCTATTAAAAAAGGCTTGTAGTCTGAGCTCAGCTTCCTCCCTTTCCTGTTGCCAAAATATTCCAGCCCTCTGTCTACCTGAAATCTGTTGCGACGCCCAATGATACCAGCGTCTCCCATTGGACCTTCACCCCCCCATCTTGCCCATGTGTGTGTAGCTTTCTTTGGGAATCTCCCGTTCAAGTCGATGAATGTTGTTGAAGTTCACAATCAAGATCCTGTACTGATGTTACATTTCCCGCCCCCTGTCTCCGACAATTTGTCATCTCCTGCATTACCAAAAGTAACATTGTAGCAAAGAGGGGCGTGGGAGGGGGTCTGTTTACCCAAATTTTGGTCTTGTGGCCCAGTTTGAGTTGAAATTGAAAGCACTTTGATGTGAGATTGCGTGGGATGTGTACCTTCTCAGAGAAAAATCGCCTCCATTCCATCCATTCAAATGCCAACTTTTGCCACAGCAGTTCTCCTAGTTCTAGCTTTTTTTTGTTCAACACCTTCTTGCTGATGTTTGTCTTAAGGAGCTGTGCAACTCTGAATTTCATAAAAAACATTCAGATTTTGTAGACATTAACATTTCAAAGCAGTTTTTTTTAGGGGGATAAGGAACATCTTTGGGGTTGTGGTAGGGAGTTTCTTTCATCCATTTTATGGCCCTGCTGATTTAGCCTAAGTTAAGTTGCACCCCTTTTTCGAATAGGAAAAATGGCAATTTTAGTTGCAGATTTAAAAAAATAAAGATTGTTTGACTCAATCTAAAAAGAAAAGAGGTCTGGAACTCAGACCATTCCAATTGGCTTTTCTGTTTTTCTTAGCTAAGCCCAAAGTTCAGGGTGCACTGCCTTAAGAACTCGTCAAGAATTAGGAGTGACTGATGAGCTTAAGCTAAAATTTGTAATGGCCTGATGTGTTGTGCTGCCTGGACCCTCATTGGGGAGTCCGGTTTCCAGTTTCAGGCAGTTCCAACCCAACTCTTGGTGTCTGGGGGTGTTGGTGCCTCAAAACGCCACTCCTTAGCTCAGACCTCCTGTTCATTAGAAAAACCAAGTTGGGATGCTGCTAACTGAACCCCTGTGGATGCAGGTAGACTTAATGTGACACATATCACCCTTCGTCATTGCGGGGGAGTTGGGTAAGGATGGCGAAGTTGGGAAGCTTGGGTGTGAGAGAAGTTGGGGGGTGCAGGGCCAGACTCTTTTGTCCAGGGCAGCTAAAATCCCTCCAGCCCCCCTCCTTCTGATTTTTATTTTCCCCAACACCCACCCGCCTCGGCCAGAAGCCCTCCACCCTCCCTCAGCATTGATGGATAACCAGCACACGTGCATTAGGTGGATTTGGCTGGACGCCAGGGAACATGGATCTAAAAGATGAAGAACTTGAGGGTACTGGGCCATTGTTTCATCTCACTGGATTGCGCTGCACTTAATCACTGAGTGAGTAGCAACTTTGTTTACATGCATACGAAAGAAGGTGGCAGCTGTCTTTGTACCCCCGCCTCGCTTATTGGTTTTGAGGTCGAGTGGAAAACGGCGTGACCGAACAGATGCCGGAACGACTCCGGTTGTTGTTTTGGCATTGGCCACCGGCCAGATCTGTCACGGCAGGCTGGTTTCTACCGCTCATCACCACACTTTGAGGTGTTTAAGCTCCACTAAGCCCCTGAGAAGATCATGGGTGATATAGCTCTAGCCTTTGATGCACTGCAACCCTCCCTCACTCACTCTACCCCCAACCCTTTGCCACCGTTGCTCTCTGCTGATACTCCCTTCAGCAATCTGTGAAAAAGCAGTGATTCCATGTTGGCAAGATAGATTGGAGCCTGCTGGGATGGGAGCCCAGAGCTTTGGTTTCCATGGTGGACCGTCGTATTTGTTTTTAATAATCATGCTGCTCCATTTTAGCTTGTTTTTTTTTTTCCTTCTTCTTTTTTTTGTCAGCAGACTTGATGTTTTGAGATTGGTCTATATTTCAGAAACAAGATGATCGTCTTGTCCCTCTTTCCTCTCAATGTATTTCGTAGTCACACTGGTAGGGTTTCTCTTTTGTTTTCCGTAACTTATCCACATTTTCTCATGTGCATCCACTTTTACTCTTGTAATCTAACAACGTGTTAACATTTGTTTTTATTCTAGATCTAAAACATAAAAAAAACAACGATAAAATCTTTTCCACCATTCAAGTTCCGTACGTTTAAATGGCATCCATTCAGCTCGTGTGCACATAGGTTACAAACTTGTGAGAGCGCTTTGAGTATTCAGAAGTAAAATAGCACATAAATGCACTAAATGTCAAACTGAAGTTGTGACTCTTTTTTTCTCTCTCCGTTTTCTTTTCATTTGAGACACGAGGAGTCTCTCCTGGAATGTATTGCCAAACTCAGGCCTCAAAAACTTCGTAAATACTCTTATGGAAAAGTTGTGCATGTTAAGATATGAACCCGGAAGGGAACAGCAGTTTGTTTTTTTCTTACCGCCGATGTCATCGAACAGCAGAATTATTGCCACTTTCGCATTTGAGGTGTTTTTACATATTATAGAATGTATTGTAACTGTACAACAAATGGTAGAGTGCATAACATTACACATGGGAAGTGCCAATAATTGCTATTCTGGGGTGTTTTTAGATGGTCTTTTCCTTTTATGTTCATTTTGTATTTCATCTTTTAACATGGATGACGTTTTTTCATAAGTGAAGCCATTTGTGATGGGAGTGCTGGCAAGGACCAAAGTTGTTTTCTGGTTTAAAAGAAAAAGAAAAATATTAGTTTCCATGATCTGTAACTATAGGCGTATCCTATTTGGGTTTTTTTTCTTTTTTTGTTATTTCTTTTCTTCTTTTCTGTTTTTTTCTCCCTTTTTTGCTCTTATTTACATATAAAATGAGAAAATAGACAAAAAAATCTGAGCTTACCCAAGCAGGAAAAGCTGTATCTTGTGATCTCATGTCAGTACATCATTATTGTGTTCAGTTTCTTTTTCCTTGGGTATGTTGCGATGAACTGCTGTAAATTTGTACAGTTCATGTAAATTGATTGTGCGGAAGTTGTACAGATTTCTATATTTTGGAAGAAAAGTTTTTTTTTTTGTTTTTTTCTCTGTAATAAAAGATTTCCTATCTTGGCATCATACCCCCTGTGAGGTTTCTCGTCATTTCTTTTATTTTGGAGAACAATCACGCAAATAAAAGCTCTAAGGAATGAAATATGATAAAACTTGATCAGCTTAAAGTTTGATCTGGAGACTGAGGAAAGTCTCATTTTCTGTCTGGTTGCCATACCTTCCTATAAATATTCTGTGACATAGTTTTCTGCAGATCGTAGAAGGAAACATGTATGTTCCTCTCAGTGTACACTGAGCATACCTAGTGATTTGTTTTTCAGCAGCTCTCAGTGTGTTGTATCAGTCTATAAAGTAATGCCTAAACTTTCTGAAGCAGAAATGTCTGACTGCAAAACTCAGTTTGGATGTGGACTACTCAGCAGCAAGGACAATAAGAAGAAAGCATGTAGATCAAAAAAGTTTTATTTATCACATAAAATCCCAATAAAATAAACTAACAATTGTAATTGTTGACATTTTACAAACATTTTGAGGTATGATTCTTTTTTTCTTTTTACGATTACTCTGGTTAAATAATCACTTTGTTTCAGTTCTTTTTTATCTTCCAAGAACTGTGCCGATTCTGATGAAACAGCACGGTAATATTTTCTGCCCCAGCTTCTCACTCTCTTAGCAACAGAGGTCATCCTTTATTGCTCGATTTACCAGAAACTCCCAGTAGGCGTGGCTGATTACCTTTGATATGATAAGTCTGATAACAGGTTAAATATTTTCTAGTAGAGACAGAAGGCAGTGTGATATATTCTTTGAAGCAGGACAGAAAAAAACAACAACGTTGTGCTCTCTGTCCTTTTCTAAAAGCTTCTTCCAACGTGTGAGAATCTGAATGTAGCCGATTGGGAACAAAGGCACTTTGAGTGACAGTTTTAGCGTGTATGTGCGCTAACTGGAGGCGGTGGACATCTGGGACCTGCTTTGTAGCCATAAAGATGACAGGGTTTAGCCCTCCTGCAGAGCCCTGTGTGTGTTTATGCTCCTCTGTAGGACAAACGCTTTGCCGGAGATGAATGCGCCACACGGCTTTCTGCAAATGCACCTACAATGTAAGGGTTTTGGGTCTATTTATTTGGCTTCACATTTTTTCTTTTTCTTTTCAAGTCAGAAACGGAGTTGCACCCTCAGCACAACAAAAATATAATTTTATAGCTTATTTAAAAAAGAAAAAATAGTGAACGCTCCCAGAAGAGTCTGAGCATGTTTCTTGAACAAA